GTCTGTGTTCATGATAATGAGATAGGTCTATAGCTGGAGCACTGAGATGGATCTTTTCTCTCCTTTGAATAAGTACTACATGGGCCTGTAGGGATTCTCTCCTCACTTCCATCCCACCTCCCAGGGCATTCAGAACTACATTTCTCCAACTTGGGTAACAGTAACTTCACTAAATTTTCTATAACGTATTAAACCGTGTAGCCATCTGGACCTGGGCCCCCCCCCCAGCCCCCCCCGTGCCTTTAAATGCTATTTTGATTTCTTCCTGGGAAATTTCTGCATCTAGGGTGTTTTCAACTGTGCTTCACTTAATTTTGGTAATCCCGCATTTTTTAAGTATGTCATCTTTTTTTTTCATTAATTCCCTCTTGAGCTTCTTTTTAGAGGGCCTTGGGGACTAATATTATATAACTTTTTGTAATACTCCGTAAACACACTTTAATAATCTCTTTTATATGAGTGGGACCAACTCCCCCTTTGAACTTTTTATCTTTTCTATATAGTTCCTATTTTTCTTTTTGTTCAGAGCTCTCATTAGATCTCTTCCTGGTCTGTCTCCCCATCTATATCTCTCGTCTCAAAACCCCTGTTGTATACTCTTCTCTTCTCCTCATCCATCAACCTCTCTAGTTCATCTTTTTTATCCAATAACTTCTGTCTCGTAATCTTTTGTTATTTTCTTCTTATGGATCTGCTCCAAGTCCAATATTTCTTTAAAAGCCCACTGACCCTCCTCTCTTCTTTCCTTTTTCTTCCTTGCTCCTGCCGCAATCAGATTCCTCTTATGAATACCTTGTGGCTTTCCCAGACTGTAGCTATCGATACCTCCTCTGTTTTACGTTCTCCTTAAAGTATAACCTTAATCTCTTTCTCGATTTTCTGAACTAAATCCTCATCCAGAAGAAGAACCTCATTTAACCTCCACCCTAATCCTCCAGTCCACCTTCTTCCCCATTCCCATTTTCATTACGACCGGAGCGTGATCCGAGAACGTCCTTGTCTCTATGTCAATTTTAACCAGATGATCTATGAGTTGATGATCTATTAAGATGTAATCTAATCTCGAGTATATCTCATGTGCATTAGAGAAGAAGGTATAGTCTCTGTCTTTCATATGCATTATTCTCCAGGTGTCCACTAGTTGATATGCATGCATCACTTTTTTCAAAGATTCTCAGAGACCTACTCCCCTCTCTTTGCACGAAAGAGGTATTATCCTTTTGTGGGTCCATACAGAAATTCTAGGTCTCCAGCTACTATCAAGCACCCTTTTTTAATTCCATTAATTTTTTCAACAAACCTTTCATATACATCTCCGGGTTTTTATTAGGGCAGTATATGTTGGCTAAAGTACACTCAATCCCCTGAAAGTCTACCTTTTAAAAATAAAAACCTCCCCTCTCGGGTCGGTTCTTCTATCCTCCAGCTCAAATCTCATATTCTTTGCCAAACCTATTGCAACCCCCTTTTGCTCTTTTAATTGGGGAATCTGCATAGTACCATGTTGGGTAGTGTTTGGATTTCAATTTTCACGTTTGCCTCTATCTCAAAATGCGTCTCCTGTAAAAATACCACTGACGTAAGCCCTATGATGTAACTCATTAAATAACCTAAAATCTCTTCCCTGGACAACTCAGCCCGTTCACATTATAGGTTATAAACTGTATTTCTTCCATCATTCCCAATTAACTCCATCTCTCTTCCAGATTGCATGACAGAAGGGATAAAGAGGAAGAGGCAGAGTATTAACCCAATACCTCCTCCCCTCCCTCCCTCCCACCCCACTCCTATCCCCTCCTCCCTCCCGTCCTCCCATCCCACCCCTCTTCCCTCCCCCCCTCCCTTGCCTTTCCCCTCCATATCATCCCCCCCACAAAACCCACCCCCCCATTTTTCCCCCCGCCCCTAACCTCACCCCACACCCCCCTCCCTCCCCACCACTAGGCATCTAAGTATACCTACTAATCATTTGTGGTTCTAAGAACCACTGTTGATTATTTTGGGGGTGTTGAACTCTGTCCATGGACAGCTCCTCCTCCTTCACCCCTCCTCCCCAGCTGTGTTCCCGTCCACGTTATCTCATTCTTTCCTTACTTTTAAACAATCCGCGGTTTCACCCCTAGGGAGAATCTCAGGAAAATCTCTATTTGGACAGTAATTAATTCTACTTTCTCCCTCTAACAGTCTGCCATTCCTTTTGTCTTGCTTCTCCTCCTTTTATTTTCTTCTTCCCATCCAAGGATCTCCATCCTCTGCAAACTCAAGTTTTTCACAAAAGTCTCTCATATCTTCTGGGAATCTCAGGTAGGCTGTTATCCATTTTTCCACCCAATCAGACAATTGGGGTTCCCCCATCTATAGAGCACCCTTCTTTTTTTCTCATCTGCTCTGTCAGTGGTTTCAAAGTTCTTTTTCTCCACAAAGTTTCTGGTCCAAGGTCTGCAAAGATCTGAATATCCATTTCTCCATATTTAATCATTTTTTTTCCTTTAATCTTCCTCCAGATCTCTTCTCTGTTTCCATATCTATGTAATTGGACTATAACATCTCTTGGATTTTCCTTCCCCACTTTGAAACTTTCCTTTTCTCCAAACACCATCTGTTTTAATCACCTCTGACGCAGCTCTATTCAATATGGAATTTAAAATTTTACATATTTCTTTTTGTAATATTTCCCCCCCTTCTATAGTCTCTGGGATTCCCTCTCAGCCTTAGGTTGTTCTTCCTGTCCCTATTTTCTTGTACTTCCAATTTATACAGCAGCTTTATTTGCGTTTTCCCATATTTTTTACTTTTTCCATATTGAGATATATATTCTAGTCTGGGCCTGATGTTTTACTTTTCCTTCCATTTTCCTCCACTCTTGTCAGCACCTGCCCCAGATCCTTCCGTATAGTTGCCATTTCATTCTTTATTATCTTTTCTAAGGCCTCAAACATTTCTGCCATCTCTTTTTTATTTGGTGCTTGTAGATCACTTTCCATTTCTCTCCCATCCACTATTTCTGATATCTGCTGGTTAGTGACATCCAAGCCCAATGATAATCTAGGGCTTTTTTTCCAAACTGGTATCCCCTTCTCTTTTCCCCGTTTATACTTTGTGGTCATTCTGGGGTTATATTTCCCTGCGATGTATATTTTTTTAATTGTTCCTGATTGGATCCTTTAAGACCACTTCCTTTAATGCTCTTATTCTTCATGTCTTCTATAGGGTTCTTTAATTTTTCCATATGCTATTAAATAGTATACTTCTATAATAGGGTCCCCTTTTAGCCTGTTAGGTTATCCTCTAGTTTTCCTGCTTTAATTACTAAGTTAGTCTCTCTTTCCAGATACCCTGGGAATCCCCTCCTTTCTCTTCTCTTTTGTTTTCTATTTTGTTGTGACACATGCAACAACAAAGTAAATACAAAGGAAACAATAACCCCACAAATTTTATGAGTTATTTTTTTTTTTCAGTTTTCAGCAGCTTCCACTCACCCAGCTCACCCCTCCTTCTCCTCGGTCTGGCTCCAGCTTGCTGTCTGTAGTTCCACTTAGATTGCTTGGGGATTCCACAGGGTCCTTTCCTTTTACTTTTCCCCCTTTTATTTCTTCTCCTCTTGGGGTATTTTTGGTTCCTGGATCAGCAGGTATTTTTTCCTTTCCCCCCCTTCGGTGCAGGCTCAGCAAGGGGGGGTACTCGGAGAAGCCCGCCTTGTCTCTCCCTGCCTCTTGTGTGAGACGCCAGCGGCTTTCTCCTTTCCCCAACACTCCTTTGCGGCTGTCACATGGTCCCCGCCGTCCTCCTGTCACCTCGGCAACCCGGCTCTCTCACTTGCCGCTGTCCGGGCTGCCGGGTAGACCTAGCCCGCATCAACAGCTCCTCTCTGTCTCCGCACCAGGGATCCGCTCTCCAGGTACCCCTTCCAGGTACGGCCGCTCATGCCTCTTTTCCGTACGGGGTAGCTGGGGAGGGTCTGGACGGAGGAGTCCCGTCGGAGAGCTCCTATCGCATGCTCTCCGGCGCCGCCATGTTCAGGCTCCTCCCCCCTGTTAAGTACTGTTTCTAATACAGTTTCTGCTTATTTTAGCCATAGCATCTATAATTGACACTATATGGCAAAAAGTTAATGGATACCTGACCACCAAACCCATTCCAAAACCATGGGCAAAATAAAGAAATTGGCCTCCTCCCTTTGTGGCTATAATAATTTGGCTTGGCATTCCAAAGGTGTTCAGTAGGGTTAAGGTCAGAGTTCTGTGCAGGCCACTCAAGTTCCCCTAAACCAAACCAAGTATTATGGAGCTGGCTTTGTGCACAGGTTATGCTGAATCACAGAAGGATCTTCCCCACACCGTTGCGACAAGGATGAAAACACAGTTATCTGTGCAGCACAGTGGGCTCAGTGGTTAACACTTCCACTTAGCAGCACTAGGGTCCTCGGTTCGAATCTCAACCACAACACCACCTGCCTGGGATGTACATGCTCTCCCTGTGCTTGTGTGAGTTTCTGCTGGATATTACGGTTTCTTTCCGCACTCCAATGACATGCTGGTGGGTTTCTAAATTGGCCCTACTATGTGTGTGTATGAATGTGAGATCGGGACCTTAGACTGTAAGTTCCTGGAGGATTATGGACTGATGTGAATGTACAATATATGTAAAGCGCTGCGTAAATTGACAGCGCTACAAAAGTACCTGTAATAAATAAAATGATTTGCAATAAATGTCTATGCAATTTGTAGCATTAACAATACCTTCCAATGGAAAAGCCTGAACTCAATAACTTGGAGGGAGTCTACATAATTCTGAGAAGGACTATACCTTTCTTCATCAAAGAGGCTGCCATCCAGAGGTCAGAGATGCATGGCAAAAAATTAATCTGTGCTTTTTAGTTTACAGAACAGCAGCCAAGAAAAGCCCACAAACCAGCAACTGGTATCTTTGGACCAGTTTCAAAGGACTTTCCATTCTCATTTCCCACATGCATTTTCCCCTGTTACAGACCATCACTGATATTACCTTTTCTTCACAGTCTCCTGAACAGGGGGGGTGATTCCAGGACCCCGAACTTTACTCTGAGCAGAAAAAGACAAAAGCATCATGACAGAAAAAAGTCATACTATACTATAAACATATGAATATGACATCACATTTATAGGTCGATAATGCATTCATAATTGACAGCATATCAGATGTCTGACCAGACATTTTGCTAGTTTACTCTTTCTGTCTTACTTTTCATGCTCATGGAGGCCCCTGCATTCTGAATCAATATAATGCGTAACAGGATTACTGGCTAGTCAAAAATGTTCTATAAAAGCTTTTATCTGAACTCCAGGATACCATATAAAGAATTCCAAAACTTTAGCTCCTGCCAATATGTGTTGGCAAGGCCTCCATCTTCTATCATTTTCTACTCCCAAATCAGCTTCCCTCATCCCCTCTCCCTCTCTGTTGAGTGGCACATGGTCCCTGGATGCCGAGTTCAAAAAGGCATCAAGGCCCAGCGGGAGAGCTCATGGCTATCAACCCCAATTAGCCTGGCCCCCATATGTCTGCGAGACTCTGCTTGGAAAAGGATCGTAAAACCATAAACCAGTCCCTCCCTGAGCTTCAAAGACATTCCAGATAAGCCATAAAGCAGACATCACATTCAAAATCCACTTTCCCCTATGATTACATATCTTGGAATATGAAAGACTTACATAAAAACCAGGCATATATTCAGACCGGTCACTTTAATACAAGTCATCTGATATATTACACCCTCTAGCTGACACAAACAGGAGAGCAGAAAATGATATCTCCTTAACCATCCCAGCAGGTATGTCATATTTCATATCTAGACGTTCAGCAGATGATTCTGCGTATTAATCTACCCGTGAATAGAATGTGACATGTACCTAGGAAAAGTTATTGACCATAGTATAATTTACGAGGGATTTGGTCATAGCCTGAGCTCCCCGCCTACAACACCCCTCCCCAAATGAGGCGAATAGTTCTCTGCTTTAAGGAGACACCCTGCTGAGTTCCTAGAAAAAGGCTGTTATGCTTGGAGTTAAGCCAAGCTGAGTGGAGTTGGAGTTGAAGTTGAAGAAGCTTCATTTTAACATTGGAACTAACTTAAGGAGATAAGGCCCTTTTGCTCTGACACTTGAAAGCTGCTTAAACCAAGGCTGACAGCAAGTACTTTATCCCTCTAAACTTCTTTCTGTTATCTCTTTGCTGTGTTATTGCTCTCTGTATATTTTTATATATATATATATTGGCTACATCTTTTTTCTGTAAATATTTTTATTGCACCCTTTTGACCTTTTAGTAATCTTACTTTCTGAAAGTGTTGAAATGTTTCTACAGCTCTTTAATGTAAACTAAGAACCCCTGTCTCTGAAAAGCGCTACTGTGTGTGTTTAACCCTCTGTGTACCCTGCCTGCGGTGACAGTGGTATACAGATGATTATTCAACCATCATAGTGTTATTGCTAATATTGCTGAGTTTCCTCTCTGTACAAAAAGGAGGTGGTGGCAGTGTGAAGGGTTAATTGCGTAATTAACCAGACTCAGCAACAATCGCTCCCAGGCTGCAAGTACACAGATTGTGGTCCATTAGCTGGAAAATCTTTGTGCAGGGTGCAGCTGGGCGTGGCATTGTTACGCACGTGACAGCGCGGTTTTAGATTGGCTAGTCCTTTGGTCACGAGTTTGGTAAGAAGGGCTGGGGTCTGACGCCGCGATCGTCACAGCAAGTAGTAGTGCTCTGGCAGTGGATCAGGTCAGTAGTGGACAGAATGGAAGGGAAGAAAATACAACTGACAATGCAACTTGTTCATTTTCCCTACAAGTTTCATAATTTAAATGTAGGCCTGTAAACCAGGAAAACCATGAATTCAGAAAATCATGATCACATGATACAAAGTCACTACAATCAGTAGGACAGCCTTACTTGCACACAAATGGCCAGAATAGTACAATCCATCATATGTATTGGAAAGGTTTTTGCTTACACAAGCAATCCTGAGTAGGTCCCAGAGCTCCTGCTGCCTCTTCTCCTGTCTCCTCACTACCATCTTCTCATCTTCTCTCATCAAGCTCATAACCTCCTTCACCCGGGGAGCAAGCTCCAGAGCTTTCCTCTTACACAGCACCGTTTTGCTGCAGAAGAAAGGAAACCTATACATGAACAACCAACCAGAGCCACCAGAAATACTGACATCTATGGATTAAAGGCCAAGTTCAAATTAAAGAAAAAAACAAATGTGCATTTATTTTTGTTTTTTATTGGAGGGAGAAGAGAGGGAGAAGAGAGGGAGAGGAGAGGGAGAGGAGAGGGAGAGGAGAGGGAGAGGGAGAGGAGAGGGAGAGGAGAGGGAGAGGAGAGAGAGGGAGAGGAGAGAGAGGAGAGGAGAGGGAGAGGGAGAGGAGAGAGAGGAGAGGGAGAGGAGAGGGAGAAGAAGAGGGAGAAGAGAGGGAGAAGAGAGGGAGAAGAGAGGGAGAAGAGAGGGAGAAGAGAGGGAGAAGAGAGGGAGAAGAGAGGGAGAAGAAGAGAGGGAGAAGAGAGGGAGAAACACTCCTCTTCTGGTGACTACAGTCACATAGACTAGAACAGAAGGAAAACTCAAAATATGGAGTTGTCAACAGAATAGAAATAAAGAGAAAATCTTCCAATAGGGACACATGTTCTGGTGACAACTGTCTAACAAGGGTTTCCATCACTTTAGAATGATATCCTCTCACTGTTGAAGCTAAGTTTACCTTTTACAGCAACTAGCCCATGCAGACAAAGGGCCGCAGCAGATTTAAATAAACGGTTGCAGTTTGTTACACTATAGTTAGATGCAAAGGCCATAACTGTAGGCCATTTCTGCCCCCCTGTATAGCCTGGGCCAAATACTCCATTGTTTACATTGTTTATGTCCTGTGTCAATTGCAGGGCACAGAAGCCACTGGTGCTTGGCCCTTAGTATCAAAGGAGTGAGTATGTTTCCTGCTTCAAAAGCTGTGCATGCATAATGTGCACGCTAATTCTGCCTATCCAAGCTGCAGCTGAGCTCAGCATTGCCAGGATAGGCAGAGAGAGTGAGTGCACTGCACATGCGGATTTTGAGAAAGGATGAAACACAAAACAAAAAGGATGTGAACAATGGAGTATTTCGTCCCGGGTGCATGGGGGAGAGAAACAACCTACAGGTAAAACTGCGTATTCCCTACTCTATCCAAAACAAAGCAAAAATAAAACAAAAACAAACTTACATACACTGTAATGTAACTTGTTGCACAGCTGATATATAGTTTAGACTGTTCTTCTGCGGGATTATGAGATACGAAGTAAGCTGCTAAAGACTGGAGTTCTGCTTTAAGTCATAGATCTGTTAATATTATCACACATGTGTTAAATAAAAAAAAACAATCCAAAAAAGGATCACGGTTTCTGGCTGGCATTACCAAAAACGTCTTGCTTGCTAAGAACAGAAAAATCAGTTGTTTGAGGTGCTGGAAATAAAAACTCATGGGGTACCAATTTATAAGATATAGAGGCATTCAGCAGATAAATGTTTTGTGAAAAAAACATGATGAAAACAAAACACATCAAATAGTGAATATAAAATATCTCCTGTGGCTTCGTAAACTAAGACTAGTGCTCTTTAAATGGACAGAGGGTGGGTATAAAAAGGTTGGCACAGACTACAGATTTTAAAACAAGTGGAATCAGGCCCATTATTCAGATAAGTACCTGAGCTGGTCATATATTAAAATAACTCTCTTCTCAAAGCTCTGAATAGCCTGCAGAAGGAGGCGCACCATCTCTTGACTGTCCCCTCCTGGTCTCTGATCTGCAGGAAACAAACACATTATGACAGGAAATTATGTCCCAGTTTCTGAAGACCTACAAAGCAGCATCAACAGGAATTCTACATACCTCTCGGCCTCTCTCGCAGTTTCTTGTAAAGTTCCTTGGCCTGCTCCTCTCTGTGAATAAACAATAGTACAATATTATTGTTTTTAGCATCTAACACCTTCAATGCTAGATGCCCCTTTCAGACATAAAGAATATCTTCATATACACAAACATTCCTCAGAGATTTTGGTTCATATTGACATGAGTTACTGTTGCCTTTCTATTATCTCAAGCCAGTCTGCCCATTCTCTTCTGACATCTGCAAGGCATTTTCGTCCACACAACTTCCACTCACTGGATATTTTCTCTTTTTCGGGCCATTCTCTGTAAAACCTAGGAGGTGGTTGTGCGTGAAAATCCCAGTAGATCAGCAGTTTTTGAAATACTTAAACCAGCCCATCTGGCACCAACAGCCATGGCACATTCGAAGTCACCTAAATCCCCTTTCTTCCCCATTTTAATGCTCAGTTTGAATTGCAGCAAGTCATATTCACCACGTGTACATGCCTAAACACATTGAGTTGCTGCCATGTGATTGGCTGATCAGCATTTGTGTTACCAAGCAATTGAACAGGTGTACCTAATAAAGTGGCCGGTAAGTACATAGTTATTGCAAATTTACAAAGACTAGCACAGAGACAAATAGGTATCAACGTAGGGAAAAAAGCTACTGCAAGTTATTCATGTTCAAAATTATGCTACTTTTCTTTGATACTGCTACTTGTTCCTGTAAACTGTAAGGCTTCTTCACACTATATGCAGTTACCTGCATTTTCCTGAATTGAAAAACACAGGAAACTACAATGACACACAGAAAAGTATAGTTTTCGGTTTATCAAGTTCAGACCAGACTGCAGTGTTTCACTGCATTCCAAAGCAATGCGCTATTATATTTGCATAATACGGAACCACTCTGCATGGTCCTGCATGTCACTTAGGAAAAACACAAGCAACTGCACATAGTATGAACAGGCCCCTGAGTCAACCGTTTGCATATTTGCAACCAATGTATTATAGAATTAGCGACATACAATATATTCAGTTCAAACACTGAAAGAGGTGCATTTTAACATAATGTAATGCTATGTCTGATGATTAGAGGGGGATGTACAAACCAAGTGGCACACAATTTCACAGACAGAACAGTTATGGTGCCTGCCTATCCCCCTGAACAAAGGAACCCTCTTCCCTGTCTTCAGATGTTTAATAACGTACACCTGATGGCAGTGGTCTGCCACAATCTTTACATCCCGTGGGTACAATTTGCTGATCCACATCTCCAGTGTCCAGAGATGACTCCATAAAATTCACAGAAGTTTACAGGAAAGGACTTTGCAGAGGCAGCCAGCACAGGGAAGATTTTGGCTGCAAAATGTGAAGACTGAAGCAGGCTATGGCAGTTGGAACTGGGAACCCGTGGTGGAAGAGAGGGGTGGAATTTGTTCAGGTAGGCTAGACAGGATAACAGTACTTTCTGTGAAGATGCAAGTTTTTATCTCCATACTTGTTCTGGATCAGTGTGTAACTACAGCTTCATGGAGAGTTTACATTTTCTCAGCTATTGGGTTTTCCTAATTATCTCTGGAAATCACTGCACTTGGCTTCATTAGGTAAAATTTAGTAACTGGAGTACTGTGGACCCATCTGAGTGCTAATCACCTACATGTCATCCAGAGTCCCACGATGCCTCCTGCCCAGTGGATTTCTTTGCAGATCCACACTGTCTGTTTGCAAGGCCATCATTTTTTCCACTAAGTGCTGTACTTCCTGCTCCTGTGAATTGCAGACCATAAATGGAAATTACTGTAACAATAAATGCAAATTTCAAGCAGTGTTTCTGGTACATGACATACAGGAACTTTGATACGCCAAGGCATCTCCACTACACACCCCAAGTGCATGAAATAGACACAGGAGAAACTACAGGGAGGATTTCATGTCAGTCACCTTTGTCCTCCTCTCCCATTTAACTAACCAAAGCAGGTACTCCCATTGTCAACTTCATATGAATTTTGGGGTAAAGTTTTTGCTTCTGTTTTTTCGTTTAAGATATTTTAGAGTAGAAAGGGATTAGAACACCTGCCATGTTTTTACTACTGTCTGTGTCCCTGTTAAGGAGATTCACCCTTCCTATTTGTCTAGTGACCACAAGCACCGCGAGTGAAAGAAAATCCCAAATTTTGAGTGGTCGCCAAAACAGCAATAGAGTGGAAATCTTCCAATGGGAACTATCTGGGATTTCCTCTCACTTTCTGATGTAGCTATGGGTCAGGAAGTGAAGAGCAATTTCCCCAATGGGACACAGATGGCAAGAAAAAAACCCGACAGGATTTATAACCCTCTCTTACTCTATCTCTATCTAAAAAGAAAACGTTTTGCCATCTGTTCCACTTTAAATTTCAGTCACAAACCAGGGGCTTATGACGATTTGCCAAAGAAGACTGAAAGATAATGACGAATGGAATATCTAAGATCGTACTAAATGCATTTTGTGAAAAAAGGCCAGGTAAGTACATGCCTTTATTTTGTAACAATATTAGCACAACACTGAACTCAATAACCTTCTCCTTTAGCAATGGAATAGTCAACAACTCTACTTCCTAGAACACATTTGCCTCCCTACCATAACCATCAGCATTAAATGGGTGTGCTTTCAGCGCATAGTCTGTATTCTTAGTTACTTGTTCCTGTATCCTGATCAAAAAAAAATTAAACAGCAAAGGGTATCTTGCTGATGCAAGGTAAAAAGTACATGTTGCTTATAACATTAGGAGCAGTGTGTTTATACCCTGCCTCAGCTTCTCTTGACCACCACTAAGGCCTTGTTCACACCATACGTGCAGAAAAGCTGATGGAAACTGATGTGCAGATTTCACTTGCAGGCACAGTTTACATCAGTTTTCATGCATGCTTCAATTACTTTTATACATGTTGCAGATGCACGTGATATTAGTGTTGTGGTGTCAACAAGGCATATAGAGAACAACTGATTTTGTTGTGCCCTTGCAGAACGCATGCAGACAAACTGACATCTCTGCACCATGGTGTGTACAAGCCCTAAAGGGCACTGAAGGGAAGATGCGAGGTACACTTTGTATTTGTGGAATGAACAGCCTGATTCTTGTCTTTGCTTCAGCTACTAGTGGTGGCCAGGAGCAGCTGCTGCAGGAAGAGAGGAAGTAAACATACCCTCTGGCTAGAGGTGCTTGTGTTTGGGCCACTCGTTTTTAAGCAAAAGAGGTAAATTTGGCTGCAGGACAAGTATGAATAAATAAATTCAGATACATTCTGAAAGTATACTTAAGTACAAACTGTAGTTAAAAAAAAAAAAAAAAAAAAAAAAAATTGAGAAAATAAGCCACAATAATACACTCGCAAACTGCAATTCCTCCAGCAGTTGGTTATGAAAAGTGAATTAATTCCACATAAAATTGGCTCCAGTGTAACCATGGTGGGGAAATCGAAAGGTAGGTTTCTTTGTTGCCATAGACTAAAATTCAAGGTACAGTATATGTGCTCTGTACTCCAGGCCAGGAACCACTCAATAATAGTAAGTCTTGGTTCTGATTTAGAACACCATTTTGTGATAATAGGGCAGTCTCTGATACTCTGGGGATTAATAATGTCCCTCCACCACCAGGCAGTCAGGAGGCACTTAATTACAGAGAGACCTGCCTATTAGCAAGCAGGCCAAGTCTTCATCCTTCTATAGACACAAGAAAGAAGCTGGGGATGTGCTAGCTGCTCAAGGATGGACAGATATGTCCCCACCAACCACTCTCAGAGATGTCTGTCTATGACAACCCTAAAGCAATGCTTCATTTATTAACACAAAAAAGATACATTATATTTTGAAATCATTTTTATTACCGTATTTTCCGGCGTATAAGACGACTGGGCGTCTAAGACGACCCCCTACTTTTCCTGTTAAAATGTAGTGTTTGGGCTATACTCGCCGTATAAGACTACCCCTCTTCCAATGCACACCAGTGGGAGGAATAGTGCCCCATCATTGGTGTCAGTGGGAGGAATAGTGCCCCATCATTGGTGTCAGTGGGAAGAATTGTGCCCCATCATTGGTGTCAGTGGGAGGAAGAGTGCCCCATCATTGGTGTCAGTGGGAGGAAGAGTGCCCCATCATTGGTATTAGTGGGAGGAAGAGTGCCCCATCATTGGTGCCAGTGGGAGGAATAGTGCCCCATCATTGATATCAGTGGGAGGAATAGTGCCCCATCACTGGGATTAGTGGGAGGAATAGTGCCCCCATCATTGATATCAGTGGGAGGAATAGTGCCCCATCATTGGTGTTAGTGGGAGGAATAATGCCCCATCATTGGTGTCAGTGGGAGGAATAGCACCCCATCATTGGTGTCAGTGGGAGGAATAGCACCCCATCATTGGTGTCAGTGGCGGGAATAGTGCCCCATCATTAGTATCAGTGGGGGAATCTGATCCGATATTAAATACAGTATTGCCAGAGAAACCGGAAATTATTTTTAGGAAAGTGGCACCACTTAGAATTAAGATTGCCCCCAATATAGTAGATCCACCCAAAAATACAATTATGTTTACCAATTTAAAAGGATTCCACCCCTGCAAGAAATGTGTCATTTGTCGATGCAGTAAACATACCGATAAGAGTAATCTACAACGAGGGGCAAATATTATGACATAGATGATTTTATAACTTGCACAAGCAGATACGTGGTATACTTGCTCCAATGTCCATGTAACCTTCAATATGTTGGGCGCACTACCAGACGCCTTAGAGACAGATTGAAGGAACATGTTAATAATATTAAGAAGGGGTATAAGGACCACTCTTTGTCGCAACATTATAAGATCCATCACAATAGCGATCCCTCGTCACTCAGATTTATGGGCATAGGCATTGTAAATGCTCATTGGCGAGGAACAAATAGAAAACGGGCAGTATCGCAGCTCAAATCGCGGTGGATCTATGAACTTGGTTCTTTACACCCCAGGGGATTGAATATTGATTTTGATCTGAATTGTTTTTTGGACAATAGATAATATGAGGAGGAAGTATATCAGTGTTTTCATGTTTACAGAGATATATATATGTATATATCTCCTATTTGAGTCTTTACGAGCATTTTATGAATAAATACCAATATTATGAATATGATTTTATATATATGCTACCAACATACATTATTGGGCCAAACTTTTGATGCTACCACTTATTCCTCGTCATCATTTTTAATGAGTTTTAAGGAGTTTTTTAATGAACTTTTAATGGGCCTTTTTGTGATATAATTGATTAAGTATCACATTCTTTTATTATGTGTTTTTATCATGTATCCGGTATTCTGTATTTTGATTGTAGTTTATGACCATATGTTTTTCATCATATATATTTACATATAGTACTGGTTGATTCCAATTTTAATGTATATCTTGTATTTTTATCTGATCATATATCCCGTGCGCTATTTATATTTGTATACTCATGGAAAATATTTATGTCTTCATTAACCCTTTACCTGTTTTGATTATAAACTAAATAGGAGTGATTTTATATATTATATGAATATATACATATATATTAATTCGCATGTTTTAAAACAACCTTTTTTTCACTTCTAATTACTTTTAAAATTACACCCTGTGCACCAATCCAGAGTCTACAGGTGTAAGTAATTATCTTCCTGGTCAGTACAGGGGTCCCAAAGGTGCTATAGGAAGGTTCTGCTAGAACAACCTGGAATAGTTAATACTACTCCTTCTATCTCCTCATACTGCCAACAAAATGGCGCCGCACTGTAGAGGACTTCCTGCTGTGGATCGCATCGCGAACCACGACAAAATGGCGCCGATCGTACGCGCATGCGCAGCAGCTTGGAAAGACTATGCCGATGTTCTGCGCATGCGCCGATAGCCGACAAGATGGCGGGCGCATGATGCTAAAGTGTCATTTACACATATAAATAGCAGCTAAACAGATGTCCTGGTTGCTGGCCCTGAACCCTATGAATACGTGCATCGCACGAAACGCGTCAGAAGGGCAGCAGAAGCAGGACACCTCACCACCATTGGTGGACACCTGGAAAACGTATGGTCAGTAAACTTTATATCTATAATCTTTTCATGTACCCCACACCTACCAACCCTGAATAAAGATATCTGAAGCAGTATCACACTATGAGGTCTCTTATTGGGCACTCGGTGTGAGTGCTATCATTCGCAGTGCCCATCTGGAGGATTCTGGACCCTTGGTGGTGATACCTGGCAGCAGTTCTGATGATCTTACTTCTGTGGAACCGGGATGGTGATCTGGGGGCAATCTGATCTGGGATCTGATGATCGTTTTATGGCCTGGTGACGCAGGCTTACATATTGCGTATGTTAAACGCACATCTGGTGAGTGCGTTTTTCACCTATTTGTGTGGTTCACACTTATCACACCTTGGATCAGGACGTCCACTCACCTGAATTAGGATCTCTCCGCGATCCACACTATTATATTGAACTTTTTGAATTCACAGATCACCATTGGGGTGATATCACGCATGTGTACAAATTCACACAAACTCACACTAATATATTGTGTGTATTAACTGTGTATTATTTAGCGCTGCACCATTCTATGTGATATATATGTTTCATCGGAGGTTTTTGTTTGGTTACCTTTTCGGTGTATCAGCTGCTCATCATTTTTGTTGTATATACATATTTATATACCTTTCCATTTAAGTAGCGCTCACTGTAATACTTTTTACCAAATTCTTGTCTGAACCATTATCTAGTTT